CGTCAGAAGAGGGACAACAATATTTACGTATTTCGACTGAAGATTCATGAGAATATACCCGACGGGGAAAAAGTGCTGGCCTTGTCGATCTCTTGTCAGTCTTCATTATTTCTGGTTCGGTTTGGATAACGATGAGGATAAACATTGATGGCTCTTGGTAGGATCGAACAATTGAAGACAATTTTCCATTGTTCAAGAGAAAAATTGTTGTTCCATTATTTGACTCGAGGAAATACTGAAACCATAATTCCTTCTGAAGTACTACATTGTTGCCAGCTATAACGCAAGAGTGAATTTATCCGAAATTTGAGTATGTAGACGTGTCAAGGATTGAATGGAAATATTGGAATGATGGAGCAATTCATTGAACTGAAACGGCAAAGCCCGCGTTGGAACTGATGAAGATGGTTCTTTCCATTTCAACACTAATGAACCCATCATCGTAGCAACATCAAATTGGGGTGAGTAGTTGTTTCTGTTATCACAGTATGTACTCATTTCCCGGGGAGATTGATAACAGCATCCCCCACTCAACAAAGGCTATCTAGATGCCAAGACGTCGATGATTATCGTATCCTACAAATTTCCAGACCCAACAGATTTAATAAAGTCTCAGTCTTTGCCTATCTACCCGGCTCTCCCTTCACCGTGACGATGCTAATGAAGGTATTGTCACTGTTGACGCCAGTGGAAAATGTAAATTGGGTTAAAGAGTATTCTCTTATTCTGCCCTATCAACGAGTTAATCATGAGAAATGAGAATAGTGTAGACTAAACTCATCAGGAAATGCCTTACAACAACAATCCGAGTACTTGTTTCACTCTAATCAGCGTCGACACTTGCATTCCCTCGGCCAGGTGGATATCGTTTTAACGAGGGCGCCTTGTTCGTTTGCGCTTATCCGTTCATCGACAGTGGAAGCACCAGGAGGTCGGTTAGAAACCGAGTAGGTAAGAAGGGAAGAAGACTAGAGTAGGGTAGTGCCAAGGAAAGACGATTACCTTGATTTCTGTCATTGTCTTTCTCGACTATCAGTTGGCTGGCGGCATATCCCCCTCTCACTCTCTCCCATACTATACCGAACCTGGATCGAGCTTTAACAGTTCGCTCCTTTGGTCTTTGGCTCTTGGACTCACTAGAGCGCGAACGAACTTGAACACTCCCACCTCTTCATCCGTATCTACAGACTGCTTTTCCCTGTATGACCCGTAAGTCTATAGTTATAGGTAATCCACAATGTACAAGTTGGCATAGCCGCAGGGATCTCTACATCCTCTCTGGCCCATACGATTTTCAACGGTCGATCGATTCTCGAGAGTTCGTGCTGCCCCGGAAAGACGCAATACAACTCCACGAAATTCTATCCCACACCAGTCGAATAGGTGCGAGTGCAGGTAATCAAGGAGTGCCCCGGTGTTTTTGGAGGATGAGGAGAAAAGATGGTGGCTAAACCGGAAAGCAATTATGGGAGACTCATACCACCCTTTTCTGGCCAAGTGCTACCGGTCAATTTAACTTTGAGGTCGAAACTATATGTATGTGTGGGATGGTAGATGCACTCAGCGCTCTTCCTTTTGTTAGCAACTTCTGCGGTACCGTGCGCTCTTAACAAATATCGCGTCCAATCGAATTGATGGAGAGTGGTGCAAAATCGATGCTTTATATCCGTAACGATTGGCTCACGAGAGGATGACGGCGTGGTGTGCTGAGAATGGAGAAAAATGTGATAATAAATAAGGGTTGACTTGGAGGACCGCTGTTACTCGTATTTACCGCAAAAACGTAATATACACACTCGACGGATGAACTGAAATGAACTACCGAGTGTCACGCAAGCATCAACTGTACGGGTAAAAGAGTTCACTTTTCGAGGAATGAAGGTAATGACTGAATGAGACAACGCGACAGGATAGAAATGTAGAAAAAAAAAGAGGGAATATATATGACGATTAATGCCCGTTCGTGCGCATACAAACAGCAGTGAGATGATCTATGCATTTGACGGGTTCCTCTCTTGTCTGTCTATCATGAGGAGTTGGGTTGTGACTTCATTCATTTGAATGGCCAATGCTCCATTATTGGGTCATTCTGAATTTTCGATAAGCTTGCCAGCTTTTTTAACGACGGCCTCGCTCGCTCGCAGTTAACCCCATAATCTCAAAATATGATAACGAAAGATATTGTCTTCATGAACTACCGATGAAACAAGGTAAATGGACGTGCTAACTCGTGATATTAAATGAATAACTTCTTTAATCAACTGAGAATAGTTTTGAGCTCTCACACGAGATTAACTCTACAAATACCGATCCTTTGGGGCAGGTAATATCACCATATTTTTTATTAGTACACCAGCCACCATGCAATAGGATATTAAACAGCCCCATTCCAACGTTGAAAACTTCAATTTCATCCCGTGGCTAATAGATTTGAAAATGTAATCGCTGGATTAGGCAAACATGAAACGTCCTACCTTCAACCCCATAAGTTCCTCACGAATTAATCCAGAGAAACTTCTACCCAAAGTTTCACCCAGCCAATTTCGCTACGCGACGAGACTTGGAGTGTATTTGCAACTTTGGAAAGACTTGAAAAGACAAAGAAGTTGAGTTGAATTAAGCACTGTGGAATTCCGATGGATTTGGTGAATCCCATGAACACTTGAAGTAGTTTTTTCCTGGGATAGGGGTAATTTTATAAGCCATTGGGCCACCTGTATCTGGTGATAGACGATTATGCTGGGCACTGGCCAGATCTGGGGGAATACTCTGAGGATTCTCGTACCCTCAGAATCGTGAAATTTACGCGAATGGTTCGTGTGTGGAGCATCTGGTCTCCAATTTGATACTCGAGGAATCTGATCGATGCCATGATCATAATGATAGCCAATTCCGATGGAGCATATGTTGGTTTAACAAGGAAACATGTATTAATCTTCATCTCTCGGTTGATCAATCACCAATACTTGATTCGACTGCTACTTTGAGTTTTACTCTATCGATCAACTTGCAACAAAATAGCGAATGGGAACAGCCGGGAGGAAAAGGCAGAGAGAAACACTTTCGAGGTGCTCTCTAGAGACTTGTGTCTATCTATCCGGGGGTTATTTCAGTGCTTGCATCGTACTAGGTTATAGACATTCGGGGTGGAGGCGTGAATCCACTGTGTTTGCGTGCTATTCGTGGTAGAGTGAGGTTAAAGGGCATCGGATACTCCCGGTAACTCCCTCAAGACTTTTCCGGACCTCGTGTGCTAGTGAAGACATCTATACGAGATGGGGTGGAATACAGAGAGCTCATGTGGACAACATTGTCTCGATAGTACTCTGGTTTTTCGATTCCCGACCCGATGAAATAGTAAGATATTCTTCTGGGATTTCGTCTATTTGATTTCCGCGTCATTGGGTATTGCGAATTTTTATGGATTTATTGGATGATTTTAATTACTAATTTATTTCACATCACTTTTGTGTCTCTCTTTTTCTGTCACTTCGGAGTGGGGACAGCCATATTGTTTTGAAGGAATTTTTTAATTTGCCAATGACAAAATTCCATCAACTCTGTCCCGACAAGTTAGAAAAAAATGAAATAACAATGAATGTACAAACCGAGGAAAACTTCTCTCGTTATTGAGTATGGTGTAAGAGCTTGGGATCGTTGTAGCAATTCCCTGAAGACCTCCCTGTGCCTCATGTACATAGTGAAGACATGTATATGAGATGAGGAGGAATACAGAGAGGTCATATAAAGAACATTGTTCTCGCCCCAGCAAATGTCGTGTACTCATAGGCATATCCAAATTTTCCCAACAATTTCTCAATACTTTTTCTTCTCCGAGAAAAAAAAATGACAATTTTCCATTCGGTTGGTATCATGTTTACTCACGTCAACTGGTAGGAATCGAATTTATTCCAATCGAAATGAAACCTTCACTCTTCACTTCACCTTTCTTCACTCACACGGAGCACAATGAATGCGCTCCCTTTACCCCCATATCAAACATCTTGAGAAAAAATATTCCAATGCAGTGAAATTTCATAAAAATGCAGCTTCCTCGTCCAAATAAATCAACCAGCGAATCCGTATCTCCGGTACTACTCGCTTTTCTCGTGTTTACGTTGCGATGGATTTGAAAGTAGAGAAGCGTATGACAGATCAGACACGATTGATCCTCGAAAATACAATAAACGTGCCGTTTCACAACGCAATACACTATTCAGAATCATAAAAAAAATCGGCATGCAGAAAGTTGCAACATTTACCCTTTTCCCGAACAAAGATATGAGAATCTAAAATGCTATTCGCGAGATGTACAACAGCGATTTCCCGAGGAGTAACTCGGGAATGTCATTTATTGAAAATCTCCTTGGGAAAAAGATGAAAGGAGGTAGAAAACTGCCTGAATAAAAACATACCCATAGTTCCGGAGATATACCGAGCCTTAGCAGCATTCGGGCTGATATGTCTTCCCATCTTTTTCCTGGTGAAAAAAAAAGGGAGTACTTGCCTGTACGTGCGTGCAAGCGCGTGCCATGAGAATAGCGAGCAGTGTGGAAAGCCCAACGCAGCGACGAAGGGAGAGAAGAAGAAAGTTGAGAAGGGGAATCTCCCTTTTTCCGCAGCCTCCGCGGAGAATATACACCAGAGAATAAGTAGGCAACTTTTGGCTGTACGTGTGTCCATGTGTGTTCCAGTGTGTGCATACATGGGTATGTGTGTGGAGGTTGGAAGCGCCGACGCAACTGGCAGAGGGATGAAGAAGCGCGAGTGGAGAGGCAGAACGACGACGGAGGGGTCTGTCGGATGAAAGAGGGCTGTTTGTGTGAGAGAAATGGACGAGTGGTAGATGGTTAAGAGGGGTAGGAAGGGGATGAATTTAGTAATAACGGCGATAAGTGCGACTGCGCCGTGCGCCGTCCGGGACAGCCGTGAGGGACGCCACTCCCGAGCGCGGCGTAGCGCGGGTGCGACCGTCCGAGAGATGTCCAGTGGAAGGATCAAAGTGAAGAGGAGCGACCGGCAGACTGGCGGCGCCAAGCAGGCTTCCGCTTCATAGGAGTGGACCCTAACGAGGCCCTGCTGAGAGTGGGTCCTTAAAATAATTCATCAACAAGTTTTCCCCATCCGCTCCTCAATCCCCTTCACTATTTTCCCCTCAATTTTCCCTGTAAAACTTTAAAGAGGCAGCATTACCACATCATTACCCCTCCACGAGTGTCACGTTATTCGTGAAGCGGCAATTGCAACAATCAGCCGCAGACGAATTTATTCATTTGAACGAAGAAAATCGGGGGATTCATCAGTGTGACTGTTGAGTTGATAAGCAGTGACTCGATAAGTTTTGTTCAAAGTGTTTTGGTGATAACTCGGTGAGCATTTGAAGGAAATATGAAGGTTTGTCAACTTGATAAAGCTGAAGATATCACCAGTAGATCTGGCAATAGTCAGTAATTTGCCAACTTCCCCTGGTTGGGAAGTGGCTGATTGTTGGGACTCAGTGATAAGGACGAGACGAAAATATTTGAGTGGAGATAGAGATAACGAGGAAGGGTTGAGGAAGATCTGGAGCTGCAAGTGTTTTAGTGGTACGAGAGGAAGGAGATCGTTCCAGAGGATTCATCATTGAAGTTATTTTTTTTTTACCCGTATAGATCACTTGATTGGGGATTGTTAACAGCGTTCTTCTCATGTGGTGGTGCAGAGGTGAGGACAGGATGAGGTGTCACGCAGCCTCGTGGAGCTTCGCACTATTTGCAGCTACTGTTGCCCTTTTACCTGCCACACATCGCTCGCCCTTCGTTTGTGCCGCGTAAGTACATAATTGAATTTCAAATATTTTCCATTTGCGTTAGCTTGGCGTAAGTGACCTTGTCATGATGTTGATGTATTTGATTGCGTTGGTAACCTGATTTCTATTTGGTCTGCGCCTGTTAGTTGACAGGCTTGCACTTTAGTACCAATTGTTCCACCAAACTCATTGGACCGGCAGGAACACTAGTGGCCTCAATGCCACGAGGTATCCGTTATTGGCCTTTAGATGGGGAGGTTGAAGCTGGTTGAAGCTGGTTCAAGTGGAGGTTGACTTACAAGGCAAATGAGGGCTAGACCACAGCAAAGCGATACCGCATAATTTCCTGTTACTCCATTCGCATGCACTCGACAGTTCTCTCTTGTTGGAAATTAGCTCTCTTGATCGTGGGGTAACCGTCTCACTACCCCTCCATCCATCCAATCTCCAACGAATGCCTCTGTAGGCGTTGTCGTTTCAAGCAACAGTCCAGATACTCTCGTGTTTCTGTTGTCCTCCAGTCCACAGCGGTGGGCGAGTAACAATCAGGCTGATGGGAGGTTTATCGGTGAAGCCAGACTAATTTGAAAGTCAAATAGGATTTCTTTGGATAGTTATCCTTGCAAACGACAATGTCAACCAGACATTTGAAAGAACCCCTTTTAATTCAAATCCTCATTTCTCTGTTGAATATTCTCACAAATAGCTGAGGTACATTTACCATGAGACATTAACTTATATCCCTCTCTCTACCCTTGGCGTGACCGAGTGCCATACTGGAGCATCAACATTTCCCAAAAGCCCAAAACTTCTCCACCCCACCTAGCAAGAAACTTACCCAGAAATACTTCAACCGTATGTCTTGAAACTTTTGCCTCTTCTCACCAATTGCAACATCAACAACACCTGTCATCGTTATTTGACCGGGCTGATGCGTGATCCCAGGTAATCCCGGTGCTTTTGCGGTTACCGATCGTGTCGATGATGGCAACATGCGCTTTTACACACACTCACACACACAACTAGCTTGGCAAACTCAAGTGGTGGTCTCACGCAGATTGACGTGGCATCGATAGGTTGGGCTTTTCGATGCTACCCATTTCACCAAGATATACAGCCAATACACCCCCGTCTCACGCATATGTCCAATTTTATGCTACTGCTCAGAGTCAATGGTTTCTGCACCAGGCGTACCAAATCATTTGCAAAATTCAAGATGGACGGGTGTCAGATGGAATAAGTGGATTATCCTTTGTTTATTCAAGTACCCATTTTTTTTTCCTTCGCGCTGGTACTTTGGATTTTTTCACTCTGCCCTTTTTTGGTGCTCTCTCTCCTCCCTCAACAGCTCGCTGTCTCGCTCTGACAAGAGCGGATGGTCCAGCGATCCCGAGAGCATCGTCACTCCCCCTCCTCTGGGCATGCCGCGGTCGCGAATCGATTTCGGGTCGAGCGTGGGCGTGCGTGCCAGAGTGTTTGTTGTGGAGGTGAACGAAAATCCCCCAGTGCTGGGGGATGCTACGACGTGAGAGAGCGGCATCGACACTGTAAACAAATGTATGCAAAGCAAGCCCTCTCCCTCCTGCCGGGTTTAGAGAGGTTGCAGTATCCATCCACAGGGTTATATACCTGGCATTTTAACGCTGTAAAATACCTTGTTACAGCCGGGGATAACTAAACGTTGGCACGTTGTTCAGATTCAACTGAATGGCATTAGGGAAATCTGGCTAACGTCATTGCAATTGAATTTACTAATTTGGGGAAAGTTCATTATACATTCCTTGGTCAATAAACCCTTTGCACAATTACCAATCTACTTCGGCACGTGGAATAATTTTTGGATGACTATTATAAGGACGGAAATGTTGATTCTTGTGATTTCTCCTGAGATTGGGGGCTTAGAATGATTTAATATTCACGTGCCAGAGAAAATCGGGTCTCCATGGTCTTGATTGAACTCGTCCCCGGCGATTGTTCACCCTCGAAACTTTTTCATGTTGTGCCCGGAATAAGGTGACGTTTCATCGCGTGCGTGAAATTGCGGACAAAAAGGGAAGAAAACCCACAGTACGGGATTGGCCAAGCTAACGGATAAAATGACCGTGAAAGCCTTTCAGATTTTTTTAATTACTCCTTCCTCTAGCGCACGATTTACATTTAGTTACGGGAGAATTAGAAGCGACAGTCACGCGCGACTTTCAAGGGAAATATTATTTTATCGCTAGACATTTTCAGATCTTGTGAATGTTTAATCCGAAGGCGATAATCAACAATGGGTTCGGCTCTGCTCAAGGCGGAAACAACTTCTTTCACCGATTAATAAAAACATCAATATAATCGATCTTTCAATTTTTTATCATTCGAATATGCATTGTCGAACAACTTGTGCAATTTCTTAACGCTAATTTGGCATTTTCCTCGTTCCCTCTTTTGCAAACGAGTGGAGAAACTCCGAGTCGTATAAACTTTCATATTCGCTTCAAATATATTCACGATCAAAGTCCAATAACGTTGAGTGGTTTTTTTTTTATTTGAATTTAATATCGAATATTTAACAATGCAGACATTCAGAGGAATGTTCTCCAAATGTTTTCGCATCCAATTGAGAGCAAACTCACCGATCGTATGCTCCGTAGAATTCCGCCAATAAAAATCGTAAAAGCGTTACGGGCAAATCTATTTATCGTACCGATAAGTAAGTTTGAACTCGTAACCCCTTTGAAAGTGGCACAATGTAAATATATCATCCGTTTCACAGGGAAAAACTTTCTTCGCTCTGTGAGCCCGTATTTCCCGTATTTCCCGTATTTCCCGTATTTCAAAAACTCCCACTTCCTGCCCGTACGTGGTACATCTACTCTCAATTTTTTTTTTTCAACTACTAAAAATATATGTACACATGTTGAGGGACTTTTATGCTGCTGCCGTGTCATCGCTCACACAGATAGCCCCGTCGTACGTAGCTATCGTTGGTAAAATTTACCTGAAGAGTAGGAGAAATGCAGAGGATAGAATTCAGTGAGAGCTGAAAATACGTGCCGACGACGCACCCACGATAGAAGTGGAAAATTTTCGTGCTAAAGCCTGAAAAAGCTTTGACATATACGTGAAGATGAGAGAGTGGGTGTGCAGTGGTGCTGGTGGCACCAGCGGTAGGAAAACTTTCAAAGCAACTTCACTCTGTGATGGCACTCTGTCTCCCGATCCTACTCCTCTTGTGCATCATCTCGACGTTGCCATGTACCAGTTGCATTGATCAAAGTCACGTGGTATCCACGTTGAGTTTTTTTTTCCCAACGAAATCGAATAATCCTGTTGTGTTTTGTCCAAGTGGCATAAACGTCAGCACCAATACGTACCAACTCCTATTTTCTTTGTGCTAACTCTACGAATTTCCGTGAGAAATCAACCAGTGGATTTCAATCATTTCCTCAAGTCAATCGAAATATCGGCACTTGACTATTTTCAAAATTGACACAAGAACACTGTCTTGGATCGAATCAATTTACTCAGGGATGTGTGCGAAATCTACTTGAATTCGAAAACAATTTTTGATAGGCCTTCGCGAGAAAATGGATTTTAAATATTTTTGGGAGTATTTACAATCTATCAGTTATTGAAATGATTTTCCTGTATTAATACGAGTTATAGAGTTGACTTGGTTATTGAAAAAAATTCAACTACGTCCTTGGTTTCACCTTCCGTGCCACGTACCAGGAATCGATTTTCATGGAAGTGACTCGAAAATTTGGGATCAGGATGCAGCTCCTCCCCCAGTAGTGTAGCTTCTCTCCCGGCCAAGTTTATAGCCCCTGCTAGGTACTTGCCCAATCCCCTTTCTTGGCATCTTCTTTCCCATTCACCCTCTATCTCGCATCCTCTTCGACTATGCCACACCTCAAGGCATAGAGTGCCGAGGCACGTGATTCGCTTTAACTAGATTCCCCGGTGGACTCGTGCATTTATTGCTAAGGCAGAATTACGGATGTGAGAGAGTACCAAGAGAGAATATACCAAAATTGGGGGACAAGGGGAGGATTTCGAAACCTCTACGGGGGGTGAATATACCACGGAGAATTGAGAAGATGGCGGATCGTGGTTGAGAGGTAGGAGGTAAGAGGAGGGAAGTAACGCGGAGGGTTATGAATTCCAGGGGCGTTCGCGCGGAAGCTCCTAGATCCCCTAATCCTCATGTTCAATGAACGGCTCTGGCATTGGGGAAAACCTGGTTAAATGGTTTTCAATAAAAAAAAATGTAGAGGGACTATAACCAGAGTTTGACCCCAATAACCCTCACACCGTAATAATCCGTTAACGGTACCTACCAGTGGCATGAAAAAATAATCAATTGTTAATTCTGTATATTTTAAAATAAAAGACTCCTCTGAGTCTCAGCTGCGATTCAACTTTTCACTCCATCGCAAATGGAAAATCGCAAATTGGAAAATAATCGTCCCCATGGGGCCCGTCTTGAATGCTCTCGAACCGACGGAAAAAAAAAATTTCAAGTACGAAAAAAAAAGTTAATCAAGAATTCTTTTTTCCCCGAATGAACCAAAGAAATGATTGTTAGAATATTATCAAGATTATAGAAGACTTTAATAAAAGATTTCTCTCTCGAGTCGTCTTTTCCTCTCTCACTATCATCTCAGCTTCCTTTTTGTTTAAGTTGATTCATTTCAGTACCATTGTTCTTACCCTTCTAAAAAAGTCTTACATCGTTGGAAGGAAAGACCCTGAAGACTGGATATAACTGTCATATCGATTGTCGATAAAGGATTTTCGTTGAGTGGAGAACTGGCAACCAAGAGCAAAGAAGATATTCCTCAAACTCCCATCGAGTTTCGTTTTTTTCCATCTTCAACTACTTTTTTTTGCCTCCCCCAAACCACCCACCGACGGAGTCGTCCTGGTCGAGCGATTATCAATATTTACGGTTCTTCTTCGTTCCACCTGTTTCCCTCTTTCACGCGTCTTGCCTTTCTGGCCCCTCTCGATCCTCCCCGAGGCTTCACAAGTGC